GGGAAATTGTGATACAAACAGCACTGTCCTTTCAGATGTCCCTTTGCCTTATATTACTGTTACAACACATAGCCCCGTGCTACAGGATATAAAATTTAAATCCCTCAACAGATCCTCAGTGTTTCCAAAGACATTCATCTTTCTGTAGGGGAAAGGTGTAGGTGTAGGTGATACGCTACTTGTATCATCTCTCTGTGCTGAAGTAATGTGTTGGTGAGTTGGATTTTCTGCTTACCTTCAGTGAAAAAGAATATCACTTTATATTTGACAGTTGTCACGTTAAAATCAGGAAAATTTTGGTGACAAGCAACTAACTGGATAAGCGGAATGTTAATTTTTTTTTAAGTTGCTGTGAGTTTCAAATCCTGATCAAGAAAAGCCAGTTCATGCTGATTTCTCTTGTCAGCAGGGAATTTTACTTTCTTGAATGAAAGTGTGAGCGGTTTTAAAGCAGTACGTTTGCAAAGCATTGTATAATAATTGTCGCAGTGTAGGAATGATCCCTGTTTCATAGAGGTGGAGGTCAACAAAAGGCTTCTTTGTTATGGGCTCTGTTCTGCATGGCAACACTTATTGAAGGACTCCTGCGTTTTAGAGGCAGAGGACCTCTTAGAAATACTGCGCAGAATAATATCTTAATATTCATGCATCTTGTGGCTGCTCAAAGTAGATTGGGGGTTTTTGTACAATAGGATTTACATTCTGACAATGCAGGTGTAAGGCTTTACATAAAACTGAGTGCTTACAATATGCCCATAATAATTACATCTATTCCCGAGGTATCTGTGTGGGTAGTTTACACTGTGTGTTTACAAATCCATTTGTGACTTATTATTTGGACAAAGTTCTTTATCCTGAAATCTCCTGTTGTAATAAGTAGCAATAGTTATTGTTAAAGGTTAGCATGTATATTTACCAGAGTGTTAATATATTTCTGCTTTAAAAAAACTAACAGTATTTGTTTTCAAATACACAAGATAACTTATGCTGAATATCATTTTAAAAGCTCTGAGGTGTTTAATGATTTTTGCAGTGACATTTTCCTATAAATTCCAGGTCAAACAACACTGCTGGAAGTTTTGACAGGAATCTGCAGCAGTTTGCGGCCTGGCATTTCAGAAAAGTTTATACCAAGAAATCTGCCTAAGAGGAATAGACTGTTGTATCTTATCACTCTGTGCTGGCATCAAGAACCAGATTACAGACCATGTACTGCAGGTAAGGTTCAGGATTTGCTTTCTTTGTACGATTTGTAATGGATAGTCTTGCTGAGAACATTGCTCTAGCACTCTAAATCAATGATGGAACAATCATCAGAGTAGTGTAGATAGCTTTTCTAACTGAAGGTTCCTATCAAACATAGCTTGCTTACTTCCAAAATTGTGTTTAGCATGAAGTAAAAGTGAGTACAAATAAAGGAAGGAATGTTATCAGCTATATATACCAGTTTATTAAAGATGAACCTGTATTCAGCATTTCTTTATTCCAATACATAACCAGTTCCTTTTCAAAGGAATTGTTTACTTTAGTGGAATTATGTTTATCATCATCTGTTTATAAAAAGATAACCAAGAAATGTTAAAGTTGTGATATTTGAGGACTTTTGAGCAAATTTTCAAAGTTGAAGTGCTGAGGAAGCAATTTGCATATTATTGTGATAGAGTTACACGTGACTGTATAAATCTTGCGAGTTCCCTACATATGTATGAACATTTACGAAAATGTGATTTTAATGTGACTGTAACTGTTCTTCAGTTCTAAAAGAAAACCAAGAAGAGGTGTGAGGTGAAAGTTGTATTAAAACAATTTCATCTAGCTACTCAACATAATAAAGTTAGTTGCAATACACCGATGCCTAAATATGCACACTTTCATACGCAATGTGGTATTGCAATGTGGTATTTAAAAAGCCTTATTACTCCTACAGAATGTGTAGACCTTCTAAATGGAATTTTGGATGGCCTAAGTAAGGAGTCAATTTCCACTGCAGTCTACAATCTGATCGATGCAAAGGTTAGTGCAAAATTAAGGCTTGTTCTCCTACAAGGATATTGCTTGATTATTTCAATTGCAATCTGGAAAGGTTTTGTCTAAATTGTTTTATTGGACATGGAAGAGAGTTGGAGAGTACCCTTTGGCTCTTCAGGTTCATTCAGGAATTGTAGAAAATAGGTATTGTGAGGTTCTTTATGGTGGTTTTAGTTAAACAACAACAGTTCTCTAGAAACTATGACAATTTCTACCTGAGATTTTAAAAAGATGATAGCTTCTTTCCTGTCACCAGCTGCAGTCAGACTGGTAAACCCATGTGAATGAGAACAAATATCAGCTTCAAGTAGGTTAAATTATGGCTAGAATCAAGGATAATGCTTGCTGTATTTACTCGTAAGAAGGTATTTATTCCAGAATCTGGACAGCATTAGTACCTGCTACAGCAACACTAGGCTTTTTTTTTTGGTATGCTTCACTGCTTCTAAATTGACATGCTTGAGGCACCAGATACTGCTTGTCCTAGGGTCTGCCAGGGTTCTCTAATACCACAGGAATGGATGGACAATGGCCAACAACTGAGAGATACAGCTAACTCCACATATGTCTACGTTACAACCTGCCACAAATCTGACTACCACAAATATAGCTATATCCTATCTATTTAACTTAGACATAATGGGAAAACCAGTGACACTTGCTTCAGCCTTTGAGCAAATATTCTGACTCCATTTACACCCATGCTGTGTTGTTGGTTTCATTGTTGTACTTCTGTGAGTTGTTTATGTTGATGCATGATGGATTAATCTGCATGTTGCAATCGCACTCTGGGATTATAAACAGACTTGATCAATGTTTTTAATAGTTGGTATTGTTACAGTCCAAGTCATTTTTACTATTGTTGAATTTAATTTAGGATTGTACCACCAAATACTCTATAATCTAATGCTTCCATCTCCCTCAAGCAATGTTTTATTTTTCTATTTGCTAACTTAGCAAAGAGCACTATTTATTGCTTAAATAACTCAACTGATAATATATTCAAAATTATTGTGATAATGCTACTGGAGATTATTGAAAATGGATTGATTCATAAGTGTTGAAGTATATAAACTAAAAATAGTTGAACAATTTTGCTGCAGACGTACAAAATAGAAAAATGTTACAAGTATTGGCACATCCTTATTGCAGACAGTTTGGCGCACTAAACACAGGACAGCCCTGTGTTTGGGCCCAATGTTTGGATACTTAAAGGAAAACATGTTATAGCTAGCCCAGACTCTCTCAATACAGGGCTATTTTCACCTTCCCCTGCATGATTCAAAACCGGGTTTTAAAATAAATTTGAAATGGCAGAAACAGTAACAGGGTAGAGTTGTGTCAGATTCCCTGCCCACTTACATGTGTCAAAATGCAGAATTGCTCTGTGCAATTCACTGTTGCTATATACCTACATACCTGAGAGTGTAATTTATATTGTCAGCATAAATTGTCCATGTCTTGCCTCTGACAACTGAACTGAACAAACCATATGTATACTTACTAGTGGTACTGTGCTATTTTTTTTTCAGGACACAGCACTTAATGCATGCAAAGGTTCAGATATATACACGCTGCAGACGGGCATGTGTAATTCAGAGGTGAGTACATGCCATGAGAGTCTTAAAAGCCTACTTCACAAGCTGCTTGTTTCTTTGGCAGCCCTGACAATGTATAATACAAACACTGTGGGGCAGAATGTCCCGAACGCTTTTGTTCCTAACCAGGAAAACTCCATCCAGTTAGTCAACAAAACCCACTGGTTTACCTTTTTCCAAGCAGCTCTCTGTTTTTGCAAGAGCAACATTAATTTCCTTCACTTAAGAGTTGCTTTGAAACCCTCCTTCTTGAAGAGGTCCTAACCAAATGGCAAAAATCTAACCTTTCTTTTAGTGTGTTCAAAATGATGGCTGGAAAAAGTCCTAGGATGAATTCTAGAATTTTCAACCAGTTTCTTAGATCAAAGCCAATTGTCTTGTGACCACTCAAAAAATACAGTTAACTCCCCTTTCAAAGCAATTTTAGCACTGGTGGCAGGCCTGCCAATACTGAAAGACAGAACTGAAGCTTACATGCCTAGATCAGACCTAGCTTTAAACAGGTCAAGTTCTGGTGACACCATGGCTGTTGGCAGCATAGGCTGCAAAAGCAATTTAGGACTGCAGTAAACCCTAGAACAGTTAGTCCATGGATCTGTCCTGCCACAGTGACCCAAGGTAACTAGCTGAAGTTGAATTAAGTATGTCTGTAGGCTCAACAACTGCATACCCGCCCTGCCCTGTAATGCTACTGCCTTATATTCCAAGAGAAAACTGTTTAGAAAAGGGTTTGGAACAAAAGTTTCCAAGAATATTTCTTCTCTATTTTGATCTCTTTCAGGTCATCTGTTCACCAAAACCCAACCGTGCAATCAGCAAGAAAATTCCTTTTGTAGTGCCAAGCTTGTCAACTATTCTACTTGATAGCAGTGCAAATAATGCAGGAAGAGAAAATATTCTTGAGACGGGTCTGTCAAATACTATCCTACAGAACACAACAAAGAAAGGTATCTGTCTTTAAACATAGTCAGCTCCCACTATTTTAGATAAATAGTTGGAAAAGGATAAATATTACTAGTTGTTACATGTACACACGTTATTTTCGATGTAAAACTGTCCCTTCTCAGATTACAGATGTGTCCTCTACTGGTATTACCTGAAGCATGAGTTCACTGCAGAAAACCAGTGGTGCCACATACCTTTTGATTAAGTGTAGACATCAAAAAGCCTCTTTCAGTTACTATTTTAGAACCTTGGCCTGTACTGTACAGGTGCCTTTCCCTCACGCATGTTGCCATTCCCTCTGCCTGTTGCTTTTGACAGAACAAATCCCTCCCAGGAACCACACTGCCTTATGCCACCAAGAATAACTTTTTTCTAATTTGCTAATAAATAAAGGATATATCTGTTATAAAGACTGTGCTGCCAGGAACGTGTGAATGATTCTTGGTAATCATCATTCCTATATAAATAAATTCCATTGCCTTTCTGATGTGGATTTGTCTTGACAAAGTGTTTAAATTTTGTGTCAAGTGATGCATTTCCTTAAAAGCTTTTTCTGTACTTGTTAGAAGTGATTTGACTTCCTGTGGCTTGACATTTGTATCCAAAAGCATAATATCTGCATTTCCAAGAATTTTAGTTCTTATCAATAGCTGTCAGACATAGGGACAGAATAGAATGTTCCATAACTTCAGAAACAAATTCCTAAGGTTTAAAAAAGTCAGATGTGTGCAGTAATACATGCCAAAATCTTCCTAGGAATAATGATGTATAAACAAGGCCTCAAAGAACAGCCAGTAGTAAGCTAATCTTCAGTTCAGTTCTAGCCCTCCTGGCTGACATATATAATGTTCTGTTGCTGTTCAATTCAAGGCTCTCATCTTATTTATCTTAAACTCTTTCTAGACCAGCTGGACTCTGACAGCAGAAAGTCAAATTCCTTTTGCACGATTCCTTCACTTGGTTCAACTGCAGGCAAAGAAAGCAGTCAGCATAAGGACCCACCACTGGCTCATAAGCACAGACCACAACCTACGCATCTTGAACAAGCAGTGACAAGTAAGACCCCACTTCCAGTTTGAGGTGGCAATATTCTCCTTGGCCAGATCTTAGTGATTAAATTGCTTAGATTTTGGAGGACACAGGCCTCCTTAAATTACTGTGCAAATTTTCAGGTATTTAGTGTAGTAACTCCTCCAAACTTGATACAAATGTCTCCTGAGTCTGTCTCTGTATATACCTGCTCCTGTTTCTCAGAAGTTCGGGCATTGGCCACAGAGAACATTGGCTTGTTCTCTTCCAAGGTCATATTCAGGCTGAGAACAGTTCTGAAAAGACCATAATGAAAATACAAAAAATATAGCACACACTGAATGTGAAAGACATTAGTTGTTGAAGTCTGGGATTTTTTTCTGTAATTTGAGGCTGTGTATTCTATACCTCTAAAAAGATAGGTACTCGCCACAGAAACAGGTGACTAGAAGGGGGTACCACTCATTTCCTTACTTTATGTAGTCTTAGTTTTTCTTACAGAACAGAGGCAGAAAAGGCCAGCTGCTGATTCGTGAGGCCTGCCTCTGCCTCTAGGTAAACAGCTCACAAAGCTTCTTGCTAGCTTTTTGCAAGCTGGCTTATGACAGTTCTCACGTCTAGCTGACCATCCTTTTCCACTTCAATTTACTTCAGACTGATTACATAATTTCTGGATAAATCAACAGACTGGTTCAAGCAGGAAAAGTTCATCACAGAACTCTACTGGGAATAATCAGAATGACAGAGGCATGGTCTCCAAGCAACAATAGCTTTTGGTTATTAATTGTCTCCTGGTGTATAGTATTTACTGTACACTGAAAAACTTAATGTCAGTACTAAGTATTTTAATCAGTTTGTGAAAGGAGACAGAACCCAAAGTTCTTGATTATTTTGCCGAGTGTTACTTCTGTAACTAGTTTGGCTTTGAGGTAATATTCAAGTTCTACCTTTCATAATATATGTTTCAAACAGTCCTACTATCGTGAACTACCTATTATCTCTTCTGCTTTCTACAGGACAAAGTGTTCTCATCTGTGTCGAGCCAAGCTGCTCTGTATAGCCAATGCTAGATAAACAGCAAGAGACCTGAAAATCTCCTCCCCTTACACAATCTGAGCATTTAATAATCTTTAGAAACACTAATTTTCTGTAATCTGATCTTCATGAGTTTTGAACAAAAGATAAAAGTAGACTAGTTTTGAACAGAGAATGCAAATTAACCCTTCCTACTCCCTTCCTCTAGTGAGTTTATATTTCTGGTGTTGATGTTATCGTTTGCTAACAAGCTCTTTTCTGGAAGAAAAGAGCACTTAGTTTATCTCATTTTCTTTCTTTTTCACTCAAGATCCTTGCCACAAAGGAAACTGCTGTCAAATACTAGCCTGCCAGAGACAGACCATACTGACCTGCATGACAGAAGGACGCCTCAACCACATCCTCGATGTCCTTCGCTCACAGCAAACGTTGTCCCGAATGGATTATGAAACAATTACCTCTTACCCCACAGTGACTGGCCGTGCTCGGGCATTATTGGACACTTGCCTTTGCCTTGGGGAGAGCGCAGCGCAGGCTGTAGTGACTGCACTTTCAGTGACCAAAGGTAGTCCTCTGAGACGAGGCAGCCATTGCCCAGACTGTCCTTCTAAGGCAAATAGGCTGCTGTGACTTTTATTGGAATGGCAATGATTCACGTTAGTTCCTCATAACACATCGACTGAAGCCAATCCTTCCTACATCCCATGATTTGATTCCTCTAGTGGAAGAAGCTAGCTGGATTAAAAGGTCAAGTCAACCTACTGACTGCAGAAACTACCAAGACTGGTATAACATTATAAATTGGACCTCAGAGATGGGAGGAGTGCTATGTGTGCCAGAACAAACAGACAGATGACACCTTGCTTCCTTGATTTTTATTTTTTTTTTTCCAGAAGGGAGGAAAATGCATCATGACTTTTTGGAGGTCCACACTATGGAAGATTGGCTGTTACTAAATCGTTTCAAATAAGGATAGCAAACAACAGGGTACTGGGTGAGGAGAAAAACCACTGCCTTTCACTAGGCTCATATCTGAGCCAGCTGTTAGAGCGAAAGGCTTAAAATCAAGAAATACTTCTTCACTGGGCCTTAAGTAAGACTTGGAAATTTTACATTATGCATATAAATTATTTTCACTCACAAATGGTCATAGGCTCTGAAAATGGGTCACTGATAGCAACGCTTTGGAGAGGTGGGGCTTAAAGTATTTTCTAAATGGAAAAACATTAGTATCTTACATCATGTAGTTCTCTAAGTATGTCTGCAGTTCAAATGTAAAATTAAACCAGGAAGAAGAGGTGCCAGGCTGATCATTTGAAACTGTGGTTCTGCTGAACTGCAACAGAAAGTAGTGGAATTAACTATAATGAAAATGAGGTTATATAAGATGCTGGGTTTTTTTGAAGGCACATTGGGATTCCTTCAAGCTTCTGAGCACTAGATTAACATGAGAACTTGTTATACAATCTACAAGTATTTCAAGTGCAAAACCATGTTACTCTGTTTCCCTATGTTGCATTTGTTCTCTGCAGTTTCAAACTGCTTATCCAATTCAGTAGTTTGGCAGGTTGTGATTTTAAATACAGTGATGATGTGTTTCCTAGGCACATCTAAGATACAAGAAATTTGTTACATCATATGCTACAGTGTTGCTGGAACCATGAATATTTTTTTTTTACATAAATTCATTAACCTTTAAGACTGCTTCTGATTGTAACACCATATTCTCAAGGCAATGTCTATCAGAATATGTTGAATATAGTTTGCCTATTAAAGAAGCTAAACATCTAGTTTACTGTTGAGTGAGTTTGTTTGTTTGTTTCAATCTACACTTTAAATGGGGAAACTACTTACCAAACTAGTTCAGTCTCTGATAAAAAAGGATATATGCTGTCATGGTGTTTTGCCTGTTTAGAAGCCATAAAATAATCAGAATAAACCCGATAATCACTCGCCTGTGTGAAATATTTAGACTCTTTAAGAAGGAAACTGGCAATATTGTTGAAACCTAATTATCAGCTTTCAAAAATTATTTCATTCCGTTTTTCTGCTGGGCACTTTATAATTCCGCCAAAGATGTGCCAGCTGGCAGGTTATGATTTTTGTTGTAATGTTTTTGACATAGAACTAGTTTTGGCTCTTTTCTTGAAACAGCTGCCTACTTGAGAACAGCATTTGATGCCAAACCTAAGCCCAGTCTTAACTGTTAATTGCAGAACTGGCATCAAACCAGCGAGAGCACAAGTTATCTGTCTTTCCAGACAGATTTTTATTCTCATATTTAATTTTCCAACTGAAGTATTTGTAATTGTATGTGACCATTGAGTTAGATCTATTACTATCATGCTTACCCAAATTTTTAAAAGATAACCCAAGAAGACAGTTTGTAACCAACTACAAAACAATGGCAAATTTGCTTCTTCATGTTAAAAAGCACCTGAATAGAATTCTTTAAATATGTTATTTAACCATTAACTCTAACCACAATCAGATTGTTTTCACCTTGCTCAACTGAAATCAATGCATGTGTTTGACAGCATTGCCATAACTAGCTATGCTACTGCCAAAGCATTGCTATAAACATATTTGATTTAGCCACATGCACAAACTTTGTCACAATTCTCCCTTGTGTAATGTAAACATTTAAATTTTGGTGTTTGTTGACAGTTGCAGCTGTTGGGAAACTTAAAGTGTGGTATTTTGAAGGGATGCTACTTGTTTATTGAAATGAAACTGCTGTTGATATAAAAAGTTTCTATACAAAACTGGAATACAGTGACCTGAAACTAGCATAATTTAATTTTGTCTCACCAAAAATAGTCTTATAAGGCCTATAACGTGTTGGCTATGTAACAAAGATGTTAATGTAATGTCTTGATCGCTGATGTGAAACATGAAACTGCTTAAAGTTTATGGTATTCTGCTGTATCCAAGCTAGTTCATTAGGGAATTGTTATCGTCCTTGCCTCTGTTCTGCAGTTCTCTTGATATCACAAAACAATATAGAATAAACCAGGCTGAGCAAGGGTAAAGATAAAAGAATCAAACTGTTCTTTAGTATCTATGGGAAGAAACAAAGTGTGAATCTGAAGAATTCCTAGAGTCCCAGGAAGGAAATACAAAACATGGGTAACTCTACAAAACAGCAAAGGTAATAATAAAAAGAAGTCACTTCAGGACTGATCATACAAAGTGATTAGTAAAACTCTCTTGCGGTTAACTCAGAAAAGACAAAACTAGAATTAATAGATGTTAAAAATAAGTCATATTCAAATTCTATGAAGCTGTTTAGATTTGTTAAAGGAACAGTAAGTGGAGTAGGCAGATGGTTATTTTTCTGTCTTGACTGTAATATCTTTTTCTTCTGGATGCTGGTTGCAGTTATCTTTTGCTGACTTGTAAAAAGATGACTGTCCTTGCCCTTTTTCCTATCTATACAACACCTTTATCTGAGCTGGGATACTTCCTGCAATGTAAGAACGTCTGCACTAGAATTTGTTTGAGGTTAATTTGTGTAAAATTAATCTGAGGTACTGGAATGAAACGTCTAAGAGATTAGTCCTTCTAGTAGAGAGCAAAGCAAACAAAGCTATAAATACCACTCAATAGTTATCACCAGTGCCTGTTAAAAACAGAGTTCCAGAGAACAACAGAGGAAGACAACAAGCGCATATTCATAAAGTGCTAATCTACAAAGCTTTAAAAAGTGCATTTATGGACTGCTAATGTACACAGAACTGTACACCAGGTCTAAAATCTACAAAAAATAAAGCACTAACTAAAACATACTAAACCTCAAGGATTTTCATTTTATTATTTTATTGTTTTATTGAAGTCTGAATTCTACATAACCTATTAAAAGTTTTCATGATTGCACAGGTTTACTTGAGCTATTCATGTGAAGATTTGTAAAGAAAGCTAAGTGCATATATAAATACTTGTGGGACTGGTACGTTAGGAAAGGACTCAACCATCATCAAGGGAGGTACAGAGAATTTAGTTTCTTCACTGCTATTTATTGATTATAGTGCTATACAACTCCTAACTATGCTCTCCTTCAGTAATATATATTGTCTCTAAGACTGCTGGGGTGTCTTATGCCTGAAGAAATCTTGTGCTATATTCCCTTTCATTCTTTTCCTGTCTCCTTTGCAAAATATTATACTGGAGCTCAAAAGGCCTCAGCACAGTTTTGATATTCTGTATCAAAGAAGTAATCCCTTGCTTGCCTTGCCTGGGCTACATTCCCTTCACTGAGTGCATGGTTGACTTGACAGCTGGTAGGTCAGCCGAGCTAAACAAAACTGGATTTTGAAGGTAAGTCCACCATAAATGAAACTACCTGACAGGGTCTGCAAATCACATATTTGATGAGTTATTTCATTAAAGTTATCACAGCTGTAAGAAATCATTAATTGTACATGTTATTGCTTTAAATCATTAAATTCGGCATGTGTTAAAAGCTGCCGGTACTTGCAGCACTGCATTTTGCTTAATCCCAACCAGACAAAAATGGTAGACAAGAAGCTGAGATGTACCATTTCCAGCTCTTGTGCTGGTATGACAGAAATTTGTGATCAATATTTTATCTCCTGCCTTTATTTCTCTTTGCCAAGAATATATCCAAAGTAAGAGTTAGAGATCTATAGCCTCAAACCGCCACCTTTGCTGGGCTTTAAGGTTGACCCGTACTCTTCCACAGATGAGTTGTATCATTTGAAGAAACTGTGGACTTCAGCCTTCAACCAGGCTGAATTAACTGGCAGTGATTTAGAATAAAAACTTCTTCACCCCTTGAAATGCGATAACATTCCAAAGTATTGCAACACCTATTTCCAACTGTTGGTCTTGCACTTTCCACATAGCAATGGCAATATCCATACCAGCAGAAAGCACAGCTGAATTTCACCCTTGCAGAAGTAATCTTTCTGTACTCCAGAAAGTCTGTACAGTTAGTCCTTTCTTTAGATTTCATGGAAAAGCTTCATATTAGGTAACAGAATGATCACCAACATTATATTTGTCTTTCTTTGTTGACCAAAAAGGGCTCAAAGATTTTTTCAGCTCATTAGAATGTTACCTAGAGGAAAAAAATGCTGAGAGAAGTGACTAAGGAATACATCTGGAAAATTAAAAAATACCCAAATGTACAAGGCGCCTTTTTTTTTAATAGCTGCAGAACACGTTCCAAACAGAATTTTTATGCCACTTATGTGTGCTATGATAGAGTCCTGTCACAAAAGAACAGGAAACTAGAAGGAAAACACTGTGAGGGGAGAGCCTGCCATGTTCACCTGTGTGTGTGCAAGGTGCTGAAGTAACCATTGTTTTCCATTCAACGCTGGCAATGTTTTATCTGGCAAACAGATTTCAGGTCTGAGCACGGACTAAGGAGAGCCCAGCAGAGAGAGGAAAGCTGATAAGCAGTGAGGAAACCTGACGTGTAAGGACAAGTTCATAAAATTGTGTTTGTTTGGTCTAGCAAAGACAAGGTGAAGGGAAATCATAAGAGTCTGGAGCAGAGGCAGTAAACATGCAATCTTGAAACTGAGGACCTGGTATCAACCAGTTGTCTGTTCTTACGGCTTTATGATTCTGGAGTGGCTTTCAAGCAGGTGCTCAAAAAGATT